ACATAGGTCTTAGATTGCGGGAAGGAAATGGACCCAGATTCGAATTCTGATCCCATTCAGTCGAAGACGAAAAGAAGAAGTAGCCGATTAAGTTTGACCACTCAGATAATAAATTTATCACTTGATATTTTTAATGAGGTGTATTCTTTGACAGGAAAATGCAAGGGATTGGGCTGTTAGTCGAAGTAGGTTCTGGGGAACTCCACGTTCTGTATGGATCAGTGAGAATGGCAAGGAGATTGTTGTTATGGATTCCATTGATAAACAGGATTGGGTTCTTGAATTTCGCATAGGTGTTAGATGCATCGCAGTCGCGGGCGATCAATGACGACACAAGGAAAACTGCAGCTGGCCATGGTGGAGAAACCGTACATGGCGGAGGCGAGGCAACAGGCGAAGAAGAGGCATATTGAGTTATGGGAGCAAGGATTTGGGTGTTTCAATTACTTGCACAGGGTGGTGGTCGAAGATGGTGACAACTCAATGAGCGTTTGGATAGCAACAGCGCCTCTGCTGGTTGGAAGTAGTATAAATAATGGCTACATTATGTAGGGTTTTTTTTTTTTTTTTTTTTTTTTTTTTATTTTAATCCTTATGCAGGGTTTTGTATTTTCTTATTTCCTTTATTTTGTATATTTCTTTTTCTAAAGTAATTTCTTTTTCATTAGAATTTCAAGAGATTCAAAGAAAAGTTATTTGTCTTCTAATATAAATGAGTTGTTTAGAATTTTAATATTTCAAATATTTAATCCGTTCATCCTATCATACTAACTACACACCTTTATATATATATATATTTTTTATATTTTAACAATTACACTTGAAAATTTATTTTGGCGTATGAGATTAATTATATTCTTTTCATGTAATTCTTTTAATTACAAATCATTCCACATGCATCGCACGGGTATCAAACTAGTACCATATAATATAACGTAACGTGTATCTACAAAAATGAGCGGGAAAGATATTGATAGCATTTCTAATTTGCTATTATTATTATATAGATAGATATAGATGTTATTAGTATTGATTTTTATATAAGAAAAATGAGTTAATTCCATTTTTGGTCTTAGATTTATAGATGGCAGTCCACTTTTAGTCCCTTTTTATTAAAACATCCATATTTGGTCCTAGTATTATTGTGGCATGACCATTTTTGGTCAATCGTTATACCGTGCACCAGGGCGCACATAGCAAAGTGCGCCCCGCGCCTCCCAAAACGATGTTGTTTTGTTAAGTTGTGTGGAGAATTAACGCGACGAAAATGTATGCTTATTCTGTTATAAAATTATGTGTTTTCAGGTATAAAACTATGTGTTTTCAGGTATACAATTCTGTACATTCGAAATAGGGGATTTTTATCCTTTAAAAAAGATTATGTGTTTTCAGGTTTAAAATTATGTGTTTTCATGTATAAAATTCTGTGTTTTCTACGAGTATTATATAATTCTGTACATTCGAAACATGAGGATTTTCAGTTATAAAAATTCTGTGTTTTCAGGTATAAAATTCTGTGTTTTCAAGTATAAAATTCTGTGTTTTCTATTATACAATTATGTACATTCGAAACATGAATTTTTTTTCTTTTAAGGAGTTAACAGCAGACACGCGAAAAAAGTACAAAACGACGTCGTTTTGGGCCAGGGCGCACAATGCATTGTGCGCCCTGGTGCACGGTATAATTTGCCATTTTTGGTCCTCTGTCAACAAAACCATTGAAATTTTGTTAAATACAGAAGCATTTCGGTCTTCATTTACGAATTTTTCCAAATAAATAAACATAAAAATATAGGAAGGTCAACTCACTTTATAGAAAAATGATCGAAACATATTTGTATTTAACGATATTTCAACAATTTTATTGAGGGAGGACCAAAAATGGTCATGCCACAATAATACTAAGACTAAATGTGGATGTTTTAATAAAAAGAGACTAAAAGTGGATTGAAACCTATAAATCTAGGAGAAAAATGGAATTAACTCTATGAAAAATTCAAATGTGTGATTGAAATTCATTACTAATAATACTCAATTTATACACCAAGTCAAAAAGTATATATGATTGTACCAGATATAAATGATATCGATATTGATCAATATTGTAAACCTTCCTTTTATATAATTCTTAGATTCACACTAATATATTTGCATTCAAGAGATTCTACAACATCAATGATAAAGTACAAATAAGCCACTGAACTATTTGGGAAACAGTAATTAAGTCATCGAACTCAAATAACCCCTAAATAAGCCATTGAATCCGGAAAAAGAGCAAATAAGCCATTGAACTCAGAAAAAGAGCAATTAACATTTTTAACAGGTTAACTCTAAGTTTTTGTTGACTAGATTGCCAAATGTTTATTTTATTTACGTTAGGGGGAAAAAGTGTCATTTTCCCTTTCTTTTATTATAATCCACCTACATAGTAATATAATTTAAAGTAATTATAATTAAAATAGTTTTGTCTTGTCGAGATTAGATTGATTGATTAATTTTATTTATTATTATTTTTCACTGGATCTTCTGTTTAAAAAATAATAAATAAATAAATTAAATCTAGACAAGACAAAACTATTTTGATTATAATTATTTTAAAATATATTACTATGTAGGTGGATTATAATTAAAAAAAATGTAAATAAAATAAATATTTGGCAATCCAGTCAGCAAAAACCTAGAGTTAACTTGTTAAAAATGTTAATTGCTCTTTTTTTTCCAGGTTCAATGACTTATTTAGGGGTTATTTGAGTTTGATGGCTTAATTAATATTTCCCAAATAGTTTAGTGACTTATTTGTACTTTATCCCATGGTTAAAAGTCGATTGTTAAAAAAATAAAAAGTGATACAGCCATTTTCTATTTTAGCAATTCATATTTTTGTGAAAGAATTTATAAACTTAAATTAATTGTCATAATAATTAGGCACAAGTATTGTTGTTACTTTTGGTTTCATGAGTTTGGTATCATTCTCACTATTTGTGTACAACTATGAATGTTGTATGTATTTTTGTCCAAAAAAAAATAAAAAATGAATGTTGTATGTATGAGTGCTTGACTTGAATTTTTATCTTGCAATCCTTTCGATAAAAAATCTAATGAAATTTCACTGAATTTTATCATATGAATTGCGAGCGGATAAAATTCATGGACAACAATATACATTTCGATCTTGACATGTCTTATAGAAAAGTAAGACTTCAGTGGCATCTTTGCAAACAAGCGGTTGTGCTATTTTGGTTTAAGAAAATGGAAAAGAACTTGTTATTGACTTTGTTCATGAATGATTTACAAATGATTGTTATTGGGAAGTATATAGAGGCTCCATATACTCGTGGAACATTTTGACTTTAAATGGTCATTTATGTCTATAAACTTTAGTCATTCATAAGTAATATGAAATTTCACTTATTTTCTCACTCAAAACGACAAGAATTGAAAAAAATATTGAGGTCTTCGAGCATTTATATTGGTAATTTTTATAATTATACACAAATAATAAGAAAATCATCCAATTACTAAAGGCTCTATTTGGTATATATAACTTATAATTTCGCTTAAAAGCTAGTAGCTACTAGTTTATTTTGAAACGTTATTTAAAATAAATTATAAGCTGTAAAATAAGTCCTATAAAAAATGGCCTAAGATAACAAAAAACTTTAGGCCAAGTCTATATTATTGAATTATTATTTTTTTGAGCTTAGGTGACTTGTAAGTACAAAAGGTTGCTTTTTGTATTTTTTTTTTGTTTTTATTTATTATTGTATCATTATTTTATTATTATATAATAATAATAATGTGATATAAAAGTGATTATCGCTTTTGCTAGTGAGAACGCAGGTAGAGAAATTTATAAAGGAATTATAAAAAATTTAATATGTGAAAGTTTGACTCGTGACTCAATAGAGAGTATTAAGAGATTTTTTTTTTTTTTTTTAAAAAAAAAACAAGCTTAATAATGTGTTTAGACAAATCGGTTTCAAATCTAAAATTAAAGAAAAATATTATGTGTACTACTATTTTCTATTCAGAATTTTATTCCCACACATAAAATCTTGATGTAAATATTTATATTAAAATTTACATTAAAAAAAGTAATTTATAATGTCTGTCACGTCAAAGAATAAAATTTAAGAAGTAAGATTTGAAATTCCAAGAATATAATTCCTAAAAAGGCGACTGAAATTGGAAGTGACACCTTCCCTTATCCTAAAAAAAAAAATAAAAAATTATAAAGGAATTATTAAAAAAAAATTAATATGTGAATGTTTTACTCGTTAAAGAGTATTACAGAGATTAAAAAAAAAAACAAGCTTAATAATGTGTTTAGATAAGAGTAATTGTACATGGACTCTTAAATTTTACTTTATTTTTTATTTGTATTTGTGTACACATTTGATTGGAGTAAGAAAAAAAGAACCAAAAAAGCTAGTGAAATTAGAAGTGACACCTTTCCCTATCCTAAAAAAAAAATATATTTCCCGTACATTATCACATCTTTCTATCCATTTACGATTTCTGCTCACGTGGCCCAATAGCAAGCCGCTTGCCCGTGATGCTGTGCAACTCTCTTTCAAGAATCTCTTGCTAACTAAACCCACACTATATATACTTATATAGTCAACCAAACAGTCCTTTCTTCTTCTCAAATTTCCCTCTCCAAAACCAAAAGACTCCTCGCTCCCCCTCCATTCATTAACGCCACATGCACTCCAATTTTCAAAGATTTCTCATTTTCAGTAACCCACCGTCCTAATTGCTATATTTTCTTGAGAATTCTTTTTGTTTTCTTTCTTTCTGTGTTTTGGTCAAAAGTTGCAGGACCAGCAGTAGTGGCTAGTGGCACTACCATTACCATTAGTTGCTTGAACTACCTCAAAAAGCCACCACCTAAAGGCTAAAACAAAGATTGAGAGACTTGCCTGACTTTTTTGGATTCTTATAGTCCTCTGCCTTTCTGGGTCTTCTTCACCCTTCATTCTGCATTCACATTTCACAAAATGGCTCTTTGTACATGTGCGCTTCCAGGGGATTTGAGCAGGCTTGTGGGTTCAGATCTTCAAAAGCCAAGACCTTTCAGCTCTCAGTGGTTCCATGGTTCAGATCTGCATCTTCACTTTCAACAGAAGCCCAGTCAGGTTAGAGATTCTGTTTAATCCTTGAATGGTCAGATGTAGTCATTCAGGGTTTTCTAGCATTTTTTTTTTTTCATTTTGGGCATAAATATATGTGCCCATGAATGCATATTATAACATAATATGGCTATCTATTAGTCTGGTGCTTGTCAAATACCTGAGCTGAGCTGTATTTGGCTATGAATTCCTGATTGTTCTGCTTTATAGATCAACTACAAGAAAAGATCAAGTGGGGTTCAGGCATCACTAGCAGATAAAGATGAGTACTACTCACAGAGACCACCAACTCCTCTTTTGGACACTATAAACTATCCAATTCACATGAAGAATCTGTCTGTAAAGGTAGGGAGTTATGTAAAGAAATTATCAAAGTCAGTTCTCTATCTATTATCTAAAAGTTTGATTTTAAACTGCTGTGTTGCATATTCATGTGTATGAAGTTATGAACTCTAATATGAATTTTAAATAATAGGAACTGAATCAACTTGCAAACGAGCTCCGCTCTGATGTAATATTCAATGTTTCAAAGACTGGGGGTCACCTTGGCTCCAGTCTTGGTGTCGTTGAGCTGACAGTGGCCCTTCATTATGTCTTCAATGCACCACAAGATAAGATACTATGGGATGTTGGTCATCAGGTAATGGTTGGTTTCACATTCTAGTTCAGCAACATTATGTTCATTGTCTTTAGTATGTATGGGTTGTGAACGGTGATGTGTTGAATTCTGCAGTCCTACCCTCATAAAATTTTGACGGGTAGAAGGGAGAAGATGCCAACAATTAGACAGACGAATGGGCTGGCAGGCTTTACTAAGCGTTCAGAGAGCGAGTACGATTGTTTTGGGACTGGTCACAGTTCAACCACCATCTCTGCAGGCTTAGGTTGTCTTTCTTTTACTTCCTTCCACATCTAATTTATGAATTGAGATGATCTGACATACATGCATCTGAAATCTATTTGTTCAAGCTAGCTTTCCTCTTCTGTCATGGTTCATAGTCTTGTTAATAACCCTATCTTCTTTAGTTCAGAGCCATGCATGCTCTTTTCTGAAGTTTAATATCATGGCTGACAGGAATGGCTGTGGGAAGAGACCTGAAAGGAAGGAAAAACAATGTTATTGCTGTTATAGGTGATGGTGCCATGACAGCAGGTCAGGCTTATGAAGCAATGAACAATGCGGGTTACCTGGATTCTGACATGATTGTTATACTTAATGACAACAAACAAGTCTCTTTACCAACTGCTACTCTAGACGGGCCAATTCCTCCTGTAGGAGCTCTCAGTAGCGCTTTGAGTCGGTTACAGTCCAACCGGCCTCTTAGAGAACTGAGAGAAGTTGCTAAGGTTAGAGCATGACTAAAAAATGTTCCAGGGAGAGAATAAGATATTGAAGAATTTGAGATTGATGAAAGTTTGTTATTGAAATTTCTGTAGGGAGTTACAAAGCAGATTGGTGGACCGATGCATGAGCTTGCAGCAAAAGTTGATGAATATGCTCGCGGGATGATCAGTGGCTCTGGATCAACACTGTTTGAAGAGCTTGGACTTTATTATATTGGTCCTGTTGATGGCCATAACATTGATGATCTTGTATCTATTCTGCAAGAAGTCAAGAGCACAAAGACTACTGGTCCAGTTCTAATCCATGTTGTTACTGAGAAGGGGAGAGGCTATCCTTATGCTGAAAAAGCAGCAGACAAATACCATGGTAATCAATCAATCAATCAGTTCATTTCCAAACTTATGCATAATCCCTCACTTGAAAATTTGAACCTATGAATATCTTAGTCCATTGCTTCATCATCTACCATCATTTTCTTGCTACTTGTTGCCTCATGTGTTATACTACTTTCAGGAGTGACCAAATTTGATCCTGCAACTGGAAAACAATTCAAAGCCAGTGCCAAAACCCAGTCTTATACAACATACTTTGCAGAGGCTTTGATTGCAGAAGCAGAGGCAGATAAAGACATAGTTGCAATCCACGCTGCCATGGGGGGTGGGACAGGCTTGAACCTTTTCCAACGCCGCTTCCCATCACGCTGCTTTGATGTTGGGATAGCAGAACAACATGGAGTAACTTTTGCTGCTGGGTTGGCCTGTGAAGGCCTTAAGCCTTTCTGTGCAATATATTCATCTTTCATGCAAAGAGCTTATGACCAGGCAAGTCGCCATATCCAGCTTCTTTCTAAACTAAGCTTCTGAAGTTACTTACCAACTATCTTATATCAAATTTTACAAACTTGAAGAACTTTTGGAGTACTTGGGTTATATCCAGGTAGTGCATGATGTGGATTTACAGAAGCTGCCTGTAAGGTTTGCAATGGACAGGGCAGGTCTGGTTGGATCTGACGGTCCCACACATTGTGGGGCTTTTGATGTTACCTTCATGGCATGTCTTCCAAACATGGTAGTGATGGCTCCTTCTGATGAGGCTGAGCTATTTCATATGGTAGCAACTGCTGCCGCCATAGATGACAGACCAAGCTGTTTGCGGTACCCAAGAGGGAATGGGGTTGGTGTTGTGCTGCCGCCTGGCAACAAAGGCACCCCTCTCGAGGTAAGTTCAACTTCCACCTGCCTCATAAAAGCAAAAGGAATTCTTAAATAAGTTCATCCAACTGAATATTTCTTTCAGGTTGGTAGAGGCCGGATATTGATGGAAGGAGAGAGAGTGGCTCTTGTGGGATATGGAACAGCAGTGCAGAGCTGCTTATCTGCAGCTGCTTTATTGGAAACTCGTGGTTTACGAGTAACTGTTGCAGATGCAAGGTTTTGCAAGCCTTTGGACCATGCTCTTATACGCAGCTTGGCAAAGTCACACGAGGTGATGATCACTGTGGAAGAAGGATCAATAGGGGGCTTTGGATCTCATGTTGCTCAGTTTATGGCTCTAGATGGTCTCCTTGATGGAAATTTAAAGGTAAGGCTAAACAACATATTAATTACCTGCAACTATTAAAAAAAAACTTCACCATTATGCACAGGAAGGATCAAGATCAATGTCTTTAAATCTCACTCAGAGTCAAAGCACACTAACTGTTGAATATTTCTAAAATGTCGATAGTACCTGATACAACCATGTAGGAAATGCCTACTTGTACCGAGTACTATTAATACCAGTACTTGATGTATGCCTACATGAGTGTAGCTGATATTATCAATACCACACAGAAAACCTGTGTCAATAAAACCCATATATGATTGATAGGAGTACTTAATAAGTTCTTGTTTAAGGCCTTACATGAAACTTACAAATGCTGTATTGTAACTTGTGCAGTGGAGGCCCCTGGTTCTTCCAGATCGTTATATTGATCATGGAGCTCCTGCTGACCAATTGGCAGAAGCTGGTCTCACGCCATCCCATATCGCTGCAACAGTATTTAACATTCTGGGAAAAGCAAGAGAGGCTCTAGAGATCATGACATAGCGGTAAACTCACTGTAATGTTGTGCGTAATAACTTCACTAATGTAAAAAGGCAGATATATGTATAACATTATCAATGTTTTGATCACCAAATTAATTTGGGTGCTCTTGCCAGATTAATTTGTCTGCTGTTACCTTGAACTCAAATTGTTCAATTATCAGTTTGGGAAGTAAGAGGAGAAAAGTGAGTGTTGAAATTGAGGGTTTGAAAGGCCGGGTGGGTGGAGACTTACAATCACTTGCCAGTTAGGCGGAAGCAAAATATGTGAGAAACCAAAAAAAAAAAGAATAGAAAGAATATATTATAATGAAAGATTACAATAGATTCTCTCTCTCGGTGTACTCTATGTTACTATGTATCTTAAACTTAGGAACACGGGGACTAAATCAACCCCTAATAGGAATAGGAAACTAAGCCCACTCCTCCTAGGAGTTTCCTAATATTCAACAAAGGTTTCCTAATATTCAACACTAAGTGGAGAAATAACTATGCCCATATTTGTATGAATTGAGTTTCTCTAAGACAATTCTCTTGGAAGTTCAAAGTCAGCAATTTTCATCATCATCATGTCATTGGTCAAAAGAAAATTCTCTCAATGCAGAAAGAAAGGCAATAACTTATAGTTTTTCAGTTTAGAAAACAAGACTGAACTGCATCTAATGCATAAAAATTTAAACAAATATAATACTGGGTTTCGAATCCTGATGAAGATATCCATTTCTATGTGAATGTGCAAGTACTCACACTCTCACAGCAACTTAGACAACAAACCCCTTAAGTCTTTCTCTGAGAAAGGTCTTTGCCATTCTTTCATGGTTTGATGAAGAAGAAGAATAGCTCATCCTTCTCCCTGACAGCCTCCTTCAACTTGATATTAGGATGACTTAGTTTTACAAAGGGACCGCACAAAAGAAGACAACAGAAATTAACTATCACATCACTTACAAACAAATCACTCTGTTATTACAAAGTACTAATTTGACTACCAACATCAAGAAATCAGTGCATTTCAAATGAAAGCAACAGCACACACCTTTAGTCTTATGCAGACTTCCCAGTAATACAAAATTTCCCTTCATTTTCTTGACTGCAACCTAAATTTAAGTACTTGCATTTGATAGTAACAAGTTCTGCAAAGGATGGAAATCTATATCAAATATGGAGTAATACTCATTGATCAAGTGCAAACACTGATGAAACTAGGCATAATAAATTTTTAAAAGTTAAATAAAAACAACATTTTCCCATTTAGAAATGAAACAAGTGAATCTATAGAAAGAGAGAGAGAGAGAGAGAGAGAGAGAGAGAGAGAATAATTGAAAATAAAAAGATGGACTCTGATCTCAAAATTAATTGCTCCTAAGATTTTGCAGGACATTTTTCTTAAATCACCTGATGTCATCACCAGTGGACATACACGGGGAAAAATGCATAATTGAACAAATACAGAAGTATTATTACACTACCACATTTCCATCCCAGTTTTCATGTAAATAGCTTTATATTTGTATCTCAAGCTGGAGCATAGATTTTGAGCCCTTTCGTAAATAGATCCACTAATTGATCTCTAGTTTGTACATGTGATGTAGAAATCAATCACAGCTAAATCTTTTCACATACTAAACAACAATCTACCTAATATGTTTGTTATTTCATGGAAAACTAGATTGTTGAGAATAACTAAATATGAATGACTGCCTTATTGTCACACCATAGGCTTAGTAGTACACATGTCTAAATGTCAATCTCTGTCGGTAAGTTGTGTATCCATACCAAATTACCAATTCACAAGTTGTTTGGGTCATCGCATGATATTCGGATTTCAAACTGGACCTTCCAATCACATTCTGCTTGTTGCTCTTCCACGAGGCTAAGTTTCCTACCACAAGCACAGAATACCCCATGGTCAATCTCTTGTCACTCAAAAAACCAGCCTAGTCAACTTCAGAAAATGCTTCAATTCTAGTGTCAATGAGTCAAAAATCAAAAACAAAAAGGAGAGTAAAAGAAAAATTAAGCAAAATTGAATTGAAATACTGGACAGATTGCAATTCAAATTAAAAAATCATGGCGACAAAATAAAATTCCCTAGGCAATGTAATTCAAATTTCAAAGATAAGCTTGAGAATTCATTGATACAGAGAGATTAAATGAGTTGGAACTCACCGGTTGATGTAGAGAAACCACGAGGATCCATAGAGAGAGGAAACTAAATATTGTGATCAATAATGCAACAGCCTTGAATGGACAAACTAGATGATTGGCCTCTCTGAGAGATGAATTTTGTGAGTCAAATTTAGAAGATCAAAGCACTTGGATGGTTCATCCCCCTTTAACAAAAACTCAATGTGTGAAGAGATTGCAGTTTCATCATCAATAACATCTCTTAAAAGGATAGAGACCAGCCATTTAGCTTCTTTAAATTTCCCATCATTTCTAAGACCAAGAATTACAGAACTACATGATGCAAAGGATGGAATCCAACCATTGTTAATCATCAATTTTACCCAATGAAGGCAATAATCATAAGTTTGATATCTGCAAAAGTACTCCATGATACATGAACTTATGGCTTTGTCAAGTGTATAACCACTCTTCACTATCTCTTGTACAAGATCCTCTGCTTCAGCTATCCTTCCAACTTTACACAGCCCTAAAATTAAGAAGTTGTACACACCCAATGTACTGCCCCCACATTGCTTGATCTTATCTCGAAGATGGGCAACATGGGAGGCATCCATCTGTCTAAAAACAGAGTCCGCAAAGAAATGAACACCACCTTTTGTGGTTATCCAAGAATCAGAGTCTAATTCATTAGAAGGCAATATTAAATCCAATCCACTCATACTTGAGAAAACAATTTGTGAAAGTAATGCAAAATATATGCGAGTATTAGGCTCACACCCATTCTGGACCATGGTGCTTACAATAGCAAGAGCACGCTCCAAACTGCCACCTTTCACATGTGACTTAACCAAGATACTATACGTGATATCATTTGGAAACACACCAAAATCAGGCATTTTAAACAAGAAGTCCTCTGCCTCTTCAATTCTACCACTATGACAGAGACCATATATCACTGCAGTGTAAGTGTATACATTCGGTTGACATCCATCCTGCTTCATAACATCTATGATTTTCAGAGAAGAGCTAATATTACCTGCTCGGCAGAGTGCACTCACTAATATTGTGTAAGTCACTACAGAGGGTATAAAACCATACTTTAGCATTTTTGCAAAAATAGAATTACCTTCAGCCAACTTAACTTGTTTGATGAGAGCATCAAGAAATAAATTGAAGGGATGTGGACTAATCAAAAACCTGGTGTTTATCATTCTGTCAAAAATTATAAAGCTATCTCTAATTTTTCCAGCCCTACAATAACCATTAATAAGAGCAGTTAGTGTTACTTCATCAGGTGCTATTCCCTTCTTGAGCATCAAACCAAAGAAACCAGATGCTTGCTCCAGTTTTCCATCTTTGCATAGCTCATCAATCAACATAGTATAAGTGAAACCATCAGGTTCAATGCCTGCAAGCTTCATGGATTGTAGAATCCTGAAAGCTGCAGACAGCTGGCTTGCCTTGCAGAAGCCATCCATCAATATATTGTAGGTTACCTCATTAGGCCACAGTCCATTACTGATTATCTTCTCCAATAGTTCCATTGCTTTATAAGGTCTGTTTACTTTACATAATCCTTCTATTAGCTCATTATATGTACGGATATTTGGTTTGCATTTCCCTCTTTCCATCACACCAAGTAGCTCAAAGGCAGACACCACCCTTCCCTCTTTACAATAACCGTTAATTAATGTGTTGTAAGTTACTATACTAGGAAACAACCCATCCTTTATCATCGTTCTGAACAAACCATTGGCCCCCTCAATCTTTCCCTCATCACATAATCTATCTATCAACACTGTGTATGTGTGAACATTTGGCTTGCAACCTTTCTTTATCATCTCATCAAGCAAACAGAATGCCTTACTAGTCAATCCCCTATCACAAATAGCTTTCATGAGTACAGTATAAGTGCGTGTGCTAGGTTCACAACCCTTCTCATTCATCTGCTCCTTTAGTTGAAAGGCGTCCTCTATCCTACCAACTTCACATAGACCATGAATTAATACTGAATATGTAACACTGTTAGCCTTACAACCGTCCTCTTTGGACATTGTCTCAAACACTTTGCATGCGTCAACAACATCACCTACCTTGCAATAACCCAAGACCAAAGATGTACAGATATGAACATTTAACATAAATCCAAGTTTCAAAACCCTGGAACAGAACATTTCAGCAGATTTTATGAACCCAATTTTACACAGAGCATTTACTACAGCAGTGTAATCAATAAGCGAAAGAACAAACCCATCTCCCACCATTCTCTCATACAGTTGAAACGCAGATACACCCATGTTTAGCTTCGCTAAACGCATCAAAAGCACACTATAACAAGAATAGTTGAGCCTAAATCCTGCCTTTCTCATGCTTTCAAGTGTGCGCATTAACTTCAAGGTCTCAGTTTCAGATACACAGCATTCCGTAATTAACAAAATCAGGACTCTATGCACAATTTGAATTGAATTACTAGTTACCAACGAACTTAACATCTCTATTTTGCTATCAAATTCATAGCAATACGTGGAGTACCTACACACCCACTTGAAGAACCGAAGGCCTAGGCGAACATCTTTGCTCTGAAGCGCCAAAACTTTGGAAGCGGATTCTGGGTTCATGTGAGAAACCAGTGATTTCAAGCCATTGTCGTCCTCCCAATTGGGCTTTTTGATCGAGGAGGATACTCGATAAATGATGTCAACCGAGTGAGGCATAGTTTTTTGCATCCGTGCGGATGGGAGAGGGGCCGAGGAAAGTGAAGAGAGAGGTCGCAGCACGGGGAGGGATGTTCCATGGCAAAGGGCATAAAGTTTCTTACTGAAACTTAACATGCATTTGAGTGGCTTTGGGTGACAGAGATGGGGAACGGCGAGCTAACCTCGCAAGTGGCAGTCCAGATAGCTGTGAATGTGGGTGGGGTAACCCGTTTACCAAGCTGATTTTGGGACAAGAAAGATCGTCTGGTCTGCGTATTTGTAGTTTGAGCTTGCCTCTGCCATTTGCACGCACTTAGACCATC